GGACAGAAAAATATTTATAAGTACGTTGGCAATATTAACTCTCCACAGATATATATTTATATTTATTATTTATGAATTGATATGTCTTCGTCTGGAAGATAGCAGAGGGAATTTCTGTTGCCTTTTCCACTGTTTTGAACTCAAAATCGTCTTAATGCTAGACTGGTTGATGTGGAAAGAAGAGAATGATTAATACCTTTCCCAAGGGCGTTAGTGCGAAAAATCCACGCGAAAATGAACGCGACAGACTAGAAGAAAGCTCGCCAATTCCAAATTACGAGCCGATATAACCAGAGGTAAATGCTGGTCTTTTATATTTGAATCTATGAGTGTTTACTTGGTTCGGGAGATATATTGGTCATTTATATTTCAGTCTATAAGAATATGCACGATTCAATGATAAAAATAGGTACATATTTGCAAAGCATTTACTTGGTATTTAGTATCTTTGGGAGATTCTACGAATATGCATAGATAATATTGTCATGACAAAGTATACTATATATATATATATATATATATATATATATATATATATATATATATATATATATATATATATATGCATATATAAAGAGACATGGTACCATGTCCATGTGGGGGATTATTAAAAAGACCAATCTCTTTAACTATTTAATCCATCTCTGTTAAATTACAAAAACTTACACTACCCATCAATTTTAATTTCATTTTTCGTTTCATTTCATTTTTGGAAGTGCTATCTGATGATCCGGCGTCCTTTAAAAGGACTCTGGTGAAATAAATTATTATAATGGTAACTTAAAGTGGTCTGTTTTTCTTTTAAATATTAGCTCTGGATTTACATTGAGCTCTCAGGATTTCATCCTCCATTGGATTACCCATACGGATTACCAAGTTCTTCATATATATATATCCGAATGTAATGAGAAGAAGAATAATATATAAATTCTAGCATTCACAGCATTAATTAAAAAAAAGGACTCAGAACCGATAATAGAGCAATAATTATTTATTTTTTAATATATTTATTTTTTTAATATTTTTTTCAATATAGCTAAAAACAAATTACTCACTACAAAGATGCAACTTCGTTTCAGTGCATTTAAAATTGCACTTTGACAGGTGAAAACGAAAAATTTGCAATTTTAAATGCACATTTTTTTTTTTTATTTATAGTAAATTATTTTTATATATAAAAAAATATATATATATATATATATATATATATATATATATATATATATATATTACAATAAACGTGCAATCAATTTACAAATACATGAATTATTCACACAAAACTAATGCAGAGGTTAATGATTTAAATGATTATGTGAAAATTTCATGTATTTTGATTGCACGTTTATTAATTTAAATAACTGATCCATATAAATATTTATAAAATAAAAAGTGCGACATTACTGTAATTATTGAACAATATAGTTCATGCCACTTTGACAGTAAAATTTACCAGTAAAATAATTTGTTCATCACCATATTTGGTATAAATTCCAATCACTTTAAAAAAAAATTAAAATCAAACTCAGCGTTGCTCTGGCATTCAAAAAAAAACCAATAACTCTTTTTCAATAGCATTTCGGATACAATAACATATATAGATGTCCTCTTATTACTAAGAGAAAAAAACAAGAACAACATCTATTATATACTGCTAGGAACAGAAAAAGATGTTTGTAGGAACAGACGAAATAACGGATTGAGGTTTTTGCAGTACGAATTTGGAATTGTTTTTGGAGATGGATGTCTCGCCATTTAAATCATTAACCTTGCATTAGTTTTGTTGAATAATATATTATATATATATATATATATATATATATATATATATATATATATATATATATATATATAAAATATAAAATAAGACACTATGTACATGTATATATACAAATATATAGACTCATCTTTTCTATATTTTTGTATATAGATAGATACATACTTACACACATACATATATAGATGCATAGATATGATGTTGAACATAAACTAAATAACGAGATATTAGTTAATATAAATACGTGTGATAACGTACATATACAGATGAGCAAATGAATATTTATTTAATTTCAGATGTGAACAAAAGAGTTCTCAATGTAGATAAACAGAGATATAATGAATAGATTAATATATACACGCATACCAAAGTTTTAGTTCAATTCTGAGTTTCATGGTTACCAAAATCATCAGGCACAAATGTTAAATGAACTATTACATTTGTTTCTTATAGTTTTTGATCCCATAGAAGGAACGCTATTATTATAAACAGATTTACAATTTCACACACACACACACAATCACACACACACACACACACACACACACACACACACACACACACACACACATATATATATATATATATATATATATATATATATATATATATATATACAAATATATGGTCTTTTTCCTATATTTTTGTATATTTATATATATTTACATGTATGTATGTATATATATATATATATTTATTTAAAATTTATATATATATATATATATA